CAGATAAAATAGGTTGTCTCTTCTTTTTATAGGTTTACTGATGAGCGATCATTCTCAAGGAATTGAAACCAAGCTTTCGATAGAAAAATTGTACTATAAAGGATTTTATGTTAAATAGATCCTCGTTCCGAGTGAGCACATTGTGAACCTAGAGTTAGAATAAATCGAATGCTATTCACATTCCATTAGAGACAAAGAAAGAATATGTTAAAAATGGCAGACTGTGGTCTAATTGATGCTATTCAATCTTCTCAAGTTTATTATTGAGACAAATTATTCTTTTCCTTGTTTTGATAGGTCAAAGAATTGAGTTCGACAGCTGAGAATCTTCGATCTGACTATCTTAGCGTCAACTTAGTTGGTCTAAAAACAACTCTGAAACCTTTGACGGATGTCAATCCCAAGCTAAAACATGAGATCTTAGAAGGCTATACAAAGACACTCAAGCAGAACACGAATTATTAAAAATAAAAGTGCAGCTATTTGACTCGTCACTTCTGAAGGTGTCTTATATGCTCTACTCAATAGAGCATTTCTAAATAAACAATACGAACAAATCCAACTTAAGTTTGCATATTTCAAACTATTCTACTGTGCTATTATGAAATTAAAGCTAGAACCAAATGATCCTCTCATGGAAAACTAATAGGTAATAGTGATTCCTATCGGATTAGCTCGAATACTACATATGCAGATGAATGAATCGACAGCAAGAGCAGAAAAATCTTTTCGATCATTGAAAACTTCTCATAGAGAACAATCTTTCAGTATCTATCTGATAATTTCTAGTCCAAACTCCAAAAAGAATTGAGCAGCTTTGATTATATCACTGATTGTCCCAAGAGAAGAATCTGAACTTCTATTCATTTGCACTGCATCTACTTCAATATGTGCACTCCAATTGTTAACTTCTATTGAAAAGAGAGAACTCTTCGAAAAATTGACAAGAGAACATTCCAGGTGTCGGAACGCTTTTCACTCGAGGTTTCGCGCATCGTGTAGCACTTAGTAAGCTATACCTATAGTGAAAAAGTTTGGGTTTTTGGTTTTCTTCTAAAGAGATAAAACGTTTTTACTATTACAGTTATAAAGGTCATCTTATCAAGAAAAAAAGTCCTATGCCAACCAATAGAAGTTGAAATGAGTAGAGATTTTTTTACATATAGTTGTCCTTATGTGGAAGATAATGTGAAAGCCTGGGGTTACAGGAATTTTGGCCCAGAATTTTTGATCATCACCCTCGCATCCTCACTTCATCCTGAAGATAGTTAGGCTCTGGCCGACAATTCCTTGGGCCAAAATTCCGGTCTCCCAAAGGCTGAGCTCAAACAACTTTGGCAGGATCGAGTTATCAGTTTTATAAAATACTATACTTGATTGTAGATTCGAAGAATGATTTATCGTCGTTTTGGTTTCTATTCGATGATTGTGTTTGTGATTCTATTTATTGAATGAATTTGAAGAAAATCTTCGATAAACAATCGACTGATCAGTTGCGCTGAAGTTTGTCTTTTTCGAAATCAATTCAAATCTGATTGTTTGGAATTCGATTCAAATATAGCGCCTGCATTGGTAACCGGTTACTTAGTCGCATGGCAATTCGTTGCAAGATGTTTCGTCGCAGATAATTAGTTGCAAGGGAAGAGGCAAGATTATGTTGTGATTAGAGTAGTTCTGTTTGACTTCCCATGTAATAAGAATAAGAATTGAAGACCCAGGCAAGCAAAACACGAGTAAAAAGGCTAGTCGTTTTTGCAGTCGTGACTGTACGTCGTGACTACTCTGTTTCTCAACAAGTCCTTCCACATGACTAGTTCGAAATATCTTTGAGTCTTAAGAGTTTGCATTCTTTTATACTCATACCCACACCTTCTCCCAAGTAATAAATTTCAGAGCTCACCTTTCAGCTATAGAAATTGCTGAAATTTTGATTTATTCATTAAGCCTTAAGAGTTCATCGTCCCTTCTAAGAGACATTAGAATAATTTCAATAAATCCCACTACAAGAGTTTGTATGCAAAAACCAACATTTTTCTGAACTGACATGGCCTTAGTGATCATACAGAGATGAAAATATAATTCTCAAGTGACTCTGAAACCGAACAATGAAACTATTACGATTCGTAATTTTTTTAGCATCACTTTTCTTTTCTGAAGTTTTTTTCATTCATATAAGCGACGTACGGCTTTCATTTTTTTAAGCGATATTGTTAAACATAGTGTTAAGGTATCTGATGAAACCATCTCGTAAATGTTAAATCATTTCACTAACGCAGGACACTAAGAGAAAGAAAATGTTCGTTCTATGGGATATTTCGCCTCAAGAAAAAATCGAAACAAGGGGATTTTGACTTGAAATTTTGCTTATAAATAACTGATACGTTATTTAGATTTCCCTGAAATTTTCAGCAACAACTGTTGTTTACTTTTGGAAATACGACATGCTGAAGAGAAGCCGCATGTTGTGAGTTTTTTCGAAAATATTGCCGATTTTTTCTTCGTCCAATATCTCAACAGCAAAGCATCCATTTTGACGGAAAATTTCAGGACAATTTAAGGATCATATAAACTGATTAAGGGCGAAATATTAGATCGAAATTTCTTTCTTTCAGGTTTCTGCAAGTTCCAAGATTTCTACGAACAGGCGTTGTGTAACTCTAGAGGAAGAACAAGTTACTTCATTTTAGCTATAGTATGAGCATACTTAAGGTTCATCAGCTCTTTTTTTTATGATTTTCTTCACTCTGTTGCAAAAAAAAACCTCCTTGGGCTTTTAACGGTTAATTTGGCATTTTTATCAATAAATCATTTCAAAACCTTTGAAAATATATCATAAATTTACAATAACTAGAGTTTTTGAGTTCTACACTTTGGCTTCTCAAGGTTCTACACTAATAATTTTTTTTTATTGTTTTATGCCGATAGTTGTCCGCCATCTAATGAAAACACTCTAATAGATTAGTATAGTTTCTTTCTCTTTGAGTAATTGCGCGTACACCCTCGATGCTTCTTGTGAGAGAAATCAAGAGATCTAGTGTAGTTTACTTTTCTTCTTCTCATCTCCATAATTACTCACAATTTAATACAAGTGATAGAATGAGAAAACACACATGTCTTTTTTCTCCGAATTTATTTACTTCAAGTATCGCCCGTCACTTTTTTTGAGAAATGCAGAAAAAGGTTGGTTTAGTTTGTTTTTCTCCTTCTTGATTGATATATCCTGATACATCTAGCATTTTTTATTGGAGAAATGAAATCGACAGATAATCTTTACTCTTTTTTTTCTCAATTTATTTGTTGTCACAATTATGCTCTACCGTACGGGGAGACTTAGATAGATTGTTTCAATTCAATCTTCTCTTTTATCATCTAGTTGTTCCCGGAGCAATTGCACAACTTTGTTTTTTATCCCTTAGTTTATGAGCTACGTTCGTACGTTGCTTGCTTGTTTTACGAAATATGAAGAGAACTAGCTTAGTTCTCGTTTTCTGTTGCTGTATTCAATTATTCTGATACTTAGTCCATACGTATTCTATAATCGACATGCGATTAGAAAATCAGCTCTACTTTTTCTTCTTACTGTGCTATGTCAAAGATTGCCCATCATCTAATGAAAACACTCTAATAGATTAGTGTAGTTTCCCTTTTTTTTGATGAATTGTGCAAATACTTTCAACGCTTCCTGTAAGAGAAATTAAGAGACACCTGGTGTAGTTTGCTTTTCTTTTCTTCTTTTACTCATCTCTATAATTACCTAGCATTTAACATTAGCAATAGAATGAAAAAAATACTCATTCTTTTTCTTTTGCTTTGTCTTGTTATTGCTAGAGTCATCTGTCATTTTCCCGGAAATACGAAAAGAAACTGGTTTAGCTCACTTTTTTTCGTTCTTGACTAAGTTATCTTGATGCTTCTAGTACTCTTTATCGGAGAAATGGGAGCGGAAAATAGCCTTAAGAATTAGTTAGAGAACTCTCTCATAAAATTGCGGAAATCATATAGCAAATGCTCCTGTTTATCCATTTGAAAAACATCTTTGCGTAAATGATCATCTTAAATGCTTCGTGATACTGCGTCAAATATCATTTCATATCCTTTTAGTACAATCGATGGTCCTTTATAAGGGTTAGCAACCCTTTTCGATATTGTTTGATAAATCTTTGGTCTGATTGATGAGCGTCATGTAGCCTAGATGAAAGTCATGATTCTTTTAGATTCTCTTATCAAACCTTTCATAAATCCTCGGTGAAATTGAAGATCCACATGAACCCTTTTGTATACTCTCTCAAACTCATGTAGTACAATTGATATTCTGATGAACCCATCTATATAATCCTTCATGACTTTGATTTTATACATTGTACTTTAATGCACTATTGAAGAGTTTATATTTCTACGTTTCTTTTTCAGAGTGTATACCATTACCCTTATAACTAACCCCTTAGACCTTGATTCATATAAATAGACTATTGTAGATAAGTTCTTAGGTGTATACCCTTATAGCCATTTACTTAACTCTTATATCTTCGGACTACTACAGACACCACTATATAGCCAAGAGTGTAGGTGTGATTGTCTTTGAAGAGAACATGCATACTCATATCACAAAAAAGTACTCGTTTAATAAATACTGTATTTTATTTATAATGGAATATGTTCGAATGTAGACACTATTTATGGTATTAGGAATGAAAGGTTTCTTTTTTATATCAGACTAAAAACCAACGAGCAACACACTGGTCTGAAAAGTCATATTGAACTGTCCTACTAAACGAAAGTATTTCGAAATGATAAAATTACTAGCTTTTATTATCCTGCTATTCTATTTGTTCTACTTCTGCCATGGCGGAACATTACCAGCTTCACAACTAGCCGAACAAACTTTAATAACAACATTGTTAAATGGATATAATAAAAATATAAGACCAGATGACCAAGTATCTATTGATATCACTGCTTCACTACAACAAATTGTATTCATAGATGAAAAACAACAAATAATGACATCAAGTTTATTTATTTCACAAACATGGTACGATGATCGATTATCATGGACAATAGATGCTTCAAATAATAATATTACCGTAGTTATGCTACCGGTTAAAAGTTTATGGATACCAGATACCATGATATTGAATTCAGCAGATGCAAGTGGTTATCTTACAGTAAGTGATTATAGTCTAGCATCTGTCTACTACACAGGTCATGTCTATATGATATTACCAGCATTAACGATAAGAACAAGATGCAGTTTCAGTGTTAAATATTTTCCATTCGATAAACAAATATGCAGCATAAATTTAACATCATGGAGTCAAGGGTACAATAGAATCATTTATACAGAAAATAGCAGTTTAGTAATTGATATTAGTGGATATAATGAACATCCTTTGTGGAGATTGAATAGAACAGACGTAATTGTAATTGATGCAGCAGATAGGGCACCATTTGAAGATACTTACAATGCTATAATATCAATACAATTATATCTAGAAAGAAAACCATTATTTTTTATCATGAATGGTATATTTGCATGTTTGATTTTAAATTTTGTCACGTTGTTATCATATGCATTATCCTTTGTACCACAAATTGCTCTATGTAAGAATATTTTCTTTTTGTCAATACTAAATGGAACTTATAGAATAAATATTTTATTTACATTTTAGGTATGACATGTTTTATGACATATTCTGTTTATTCACTAAATTTCTCCAACCTATTTCCACAACAGTCTCAATACTTAATGATGATTACATTATACTTTTTATTATCAATTTTTTGGACATTAGTATCAATGGTATGGTTTATCATGTATAATTATTTTACAACAAAAGTTGAAATGCCAAAGTCACTTTATAGTTTTTGTGGACTATTGCAAAAAGTGTTTTTTTGTTACTTTCCATCATCAAAAACAGATGACAAGACAAAACAGAAGAACGGTGTTATTGTTGAGAATGGTGAAGTTAATAAGTCTGGGAAGGCAGAAAATGCAAAAGCATCAAGTACTCAAACAATAGAATGTACTTCTTTCCAGGAACTATCTGGTTTAGGTGTTCATAGACATCGTAAAGTTAAAATCATTGAAAACATGCAGCATAGTTCCGTTGCAAGTACCGAAGCGGTCACAACAAATCCAATTGTCGGTGCGCCAATCGACACAGTAGCATTTACAAGTGTTAAAGAAACAAGCCAGAGAGCAAAACAAAAATGCAACTTCTGCAATAGATGTGAGTCCTGCCAAACTGATATTGACAAAGATAAAGTGAAAAATAACAATAAAAAAGATATTGAAGCTAGATGTAACGCCTTAAATTATTTTATTTGTTTTTGTCAATTATTGTTGATGCTTATTTCTAATATGGCTGTATGGCTTTCAATGTCAAAATAATTGATTTAAAGTTTTTTTTTTTTTTACTACATCCTTTTTTCACAATAACCATTAAAATTAAAACAAAATCATTGCACATTGTTTAAAACACAATAAAACATGATTTTATTGCTTTCAATAAATTCGTTTCAGCTTCTTTAACCAAGATCTGAAAATCAGAAATTTTGGGTGTGGATTAGACTTTCAGTATTCTATGCACTCACAACTCACATCCATCTGTGCAATTCATGCCCAAAAAAAATTGAAAATTTTTTGAATTGTTGAAGGATAGTGGGTGATTCTGAAAAAGAGACCAAATTTTTTTAATAATTCTTTTCAAGAGACGAGTGATTTCAAGGATAAGTCAGATATTTTTAGAATTTTCAGAGTAATATATAGTTTTCTCTGATGGTTTGTTTATAAACTGATGCTGTTCATAATTTTAATTAATCTTATATTTAGGTCAGAGTTTTAACAAATACTAATTGAGAATGATACTTTTCAACTCATTTATATAAACATTCAGTACTGTTATTCTTTTTTTATGGAACAAAACTTGTTGTGTCGACACTGACTTATATGCATACTTCTTCTATACTATTTAAATTCTCTGTAGCAAATTTTTCAAGATACAAAAACTAATGTTTATATACTGTTGTTTATTCAAAATAGTTTTTCTCGGCACAAACAATTGCTACAGACGTTCACCTTTTCTCTGCAAATTTCAGTTTGAAGAAGAGTAAATAGAAGGTAATTAATCTGATGCAAGTTACTTCAAAAGTTCTAAAACAATTTTAAATCTTATCGTTCTTATTGCTAACGAAACCGAACTTCTTGAAACTTTGATCGATTATTGTATTGGCTTAGTACTAAATTATCACAAAGTTTCAAGATAGTTTCTTTTTTCATATTTGTAATATTAATCGATAGAATTATTAATAACAACGTATTGCTGTTGATTTTAAGAATGTTGTAAATAACCGTAAAAGGATCTCCTATTTTTGACTCTAAAATACACACGAACAGACTTTTTTCCCATATGAATATAGTCAAAGAGTTATTTTGCTTTTCTTTGATGATATTCTTTTACTAAATTAATTTGTAAATTGTAATTATTAAAAGTGAGCGGAAGTAGATGAAAAAAGTGCAGATTGTTGATAAATTCATTCATACGAAAACAATCAATGGTACAGAAAGCTGTAGCCTTAGCAATTAAGGTTTTTCTTTATAATATTGAGAAAACTCATTAAAAGTAAGAGTTGACATTAGAGAAATGAAAAGAATATATAATGACAAACATATTTTGTGTTTATGCTAGAAAAGAACATAAATAACATGAAAAAAAGTCGAAATAAAAAAGAGAATAAGCAAAAAATCATTAGAAATCATATTACGGGCAACGACACATTTTGCCATTATTGAAAATACGGAGGAGAAGGACGTTTTTGATTATTTTCTCGACTTTTTGTTCAGTATTCATTACCTAACAACTCAGGGTCATATTAGTTACATAGATAAAATATCGAAAAAATTTTTTTCACCATGAACACCAACGTTTCTCAATAAATGATATCTTTTATCTGAATTTAACTTCATCATTGAAATATTATATTTCTTTAACGATATAAATTTTGATTTGAGTTACACAAAGAATGCATATGAAAGATTTTGTTCATTTGCTTTGCGTCGATGTATCTCGTTTGAGTGCCTATAATAGAACAACAAGATAATTATGAAAGAATTCAAAAATGATATTAGATCGTACCTTAAATATTAAAGTTGACATCATTGAATAATAAATACATAAAAATAGATTTCCAAATTGAACTAACAATACTGAACACATACAGAATGTAGTTTATTGGGACGTTATGTAGGGTATTAAGCAATCGTCAAATTCAAGATCACGATCAAGTGTGATTTTGATCGTCCGTGATGAGAAATTTTTTTCGGGGGCGTAGTCATAGTCATAAAATATACATTCAAAATTTCAACCATTTATCCAGAAACTTAATACTTTACATTTTAAATCAGAAGAAAACTTGGCAGTTTATATTCTAATTATTAAAAAAAAATTTTTTTGTTAATTAAGAATAATGCTATAGAGACAATAATTTCGAATTTTTCTGTTATGAATATGAACTTTAAGCCCTTTTTTTATTCGTAGTAAAAAAATAACTATTGATTTATTCGTATTGTAAAAAAAAAGCATAATTAAGTTTGTGTTCTGCTAAAATAACTTTTATGTTATTCTATTCACTAAAATTAAGCGTTAAAAGTAGAAGAAAAGATCGATAGAAAAAGTTTTTTTACTTATAGGAAATCTGACAGAAAGATAGGAATTCACAAAAGATTTGTTTCCAAGTTAAGTGGTTAACCTATATACATGCTCACACTACGATATTATTAATCTATGTTTTATCGTTTTTGTCAATAGAAAATGAGATTGACAGAAACAGATCATAATTAGATAATTCTGTTTAGTATTATTTGTTTTTGTGTTGGCATTTATTCATAATGTGTGATTTACGAAGAAACATACAATATTATTTATGTTTCAAGCGATTGCACCTTTAGAAAAAGGTTAAGAAAACAAAATACACAGATAATGACCAACATCAAATAAGTTCTTTTTTTCTAATTTTGTCAGTACGAAGCCTGCAAAGGACTTTTTGTCTTGTACCCACAACTTATTCATCGCGATCTAGACTTTTTACTTTCATGTTAATCATTTCTTTTTTTTCGTTCTTTGATAAGATTGTATGACCGTTTTAGGAAAGCCATGACAAATAATAAAAGGAACAATTGCTTTATTTTTTATTCGAGTTCTTATAGTTTTCTAAAATATGTGAAAACATTGAGTTCATTCATGAGTTAAAGATCAAAATGGAAAAATCAAAAGCATTGACATAGAGTTTGTAGTCATTTTTATTATGTGATTTGTGAGATTTTGTTAAAAACTGAGCAACAAAACTTATTCGATTCTGAATTCTTTTTTAATGTTTTTATATAGATAAATGCTGAATAATCTAATGGGTCGTTATTATTGAATAAGTATCTCAAATCAACACTTAACTAGAAGCCTACACAAATTGTTGTGTATCATTTTTATCAAGGATGACGAACCTTGATTTTCGAATACGTTCGATAAAATAAAAAACATTTTCAAATCTTTATGGTCAAAGAAGATATCAAAAAAAAAATTAATTGTTTCAATTGACTTTAAATATTGTATATTTCTTTTTTTGTCTTTGAAGTTTTGTCATCTAGTAAGATTTCATGATCTTTTGCTGTAAAATTTGAATATTTCCTTAGTTTAAATTTTATTGTTTAATTATATTCTTTTCAACGCTTTTTCAGAGTCATGCCCGTCCACGCCCACACCCATTCTATCCTTCGCGAAAACCAATACAGTCCAGCTCGATCAGTAACTGTACCTATGGTCATTGTCAATGTAGCATTTCTACTGACATACTTCAAAAACCTTACAATTATCAGTCTGAAATTCGTGTTTTTATAGGTATTTGATAGAAAGAGAAAATGAAAACAATTAAACAAGAAGTAATACACAAACAGATTAAAACTAAAACATCTTTTCATAAACGTGTATCGAAGGAATAAACCAATAATTTCCAGTTATTGGTGTTGAAAAATCCATAATTCTATCATGAATTCCATCATTCATGCCAATCATGCTATTTAGTTGTTTTTCGTGTTTGTTCGGATTGGAAGCATAAGAAATAAAAAACAATCCGTGCTCTTTCATTCCTCCATAAGGTAGCGATTGCCTAACCACTTTGATGTCTATTCCATTCTCTTTGAGATCCGTTCGAGCAACATGAGATGTCGAAACTTTTGGTCTAATCTTTTTACTTTCCTCTCCTTTCGTTCTTCCCATTATATTCTCTTGTTCTTCTTGTGATAGTCTATAAACATTTACCAATAAGATTGCAATTCAGTCAGTTATTGTTATAAAATCGTAACTTACTCATTCCATTTAAACAGATTATGTTTCCATTTTTGAGTTAATGCAAATGACCCTCCGACATGAATTGGAATGTCGTGCCCATCACATATGAGTGCCGCTTTAGCCTGAATATAAGACTTTCTAAAATACTATGCACACATCTACTTTAAAGTGTACCCTCTGTTCATCTTCCTTCGGATTTTCGTTGCCATCTTCGAAACCAGTAAAATCTTGAGAAAGACCATTTGTTTCTGAGCTCATATACGCAAAGCCAAAAGTTTCATCCAATTTAGCAATAGAGTCATCAGGAATAGATTGACAGAATTGTCGACCCAATTCAAAACAAAGATCTTTTCGATTGCTTCTAATATGAAGCATTAAGTTGCCTTCTAAATTTTTCAATGATCAATGAGTATTATTTACTTATTCGAAAAATCAGATCACTAGCATTCAATTTACTTGTACTAGGCATATATTTTCCTGTAGGACCTTCTTTTTCTTGAAATTCTATAAACGATTTTGGAAATGGAATATTTGCTCGAGTAAGCCATTCTTGAGTTTTGTTATATCCAATGCCTAATGTTGCTTCTAGTCTGCAACCTGGATGCAATTGAAAAAGTGATTCCTTGAGTTGTGGCAATGTTCGACAAGCTTTTCTAACATCAGCATCATGTTCGTTTGTTAGATGAACTAAAATAATATTTAAAAAAACACCAACGAACAGAGAAACTATGTAACTGATAGGCGAGCTCTAATACATACAGATAATGTAAAGGGCGTGTTCATTTATATCGAACGGTGTCAAAATTCCACTTTGGCAATGGTAAGTATTTGAGATAACGATACTTTTTTGTTGAATAGTTGCTGGTTTTTGTGAATCGTAGAATTTTGAGATTTTCTGATGATCTTGTGGAGAACTAAATTTTTATAAAAACTACAATAATTTGTAGAAGTTTCTTGAAATAGTACGTTCGTGCCAAAAACAAAGTGCAAAACAAAAAAGTCATGTCGAAAAATGACAAATCCATCGTGACCAAGCGTCGTTTCGAGGCTATGACTCGAATGGGAAGATAACAGCATGTTCTATTCTATGAAATTTGACTCTTTTCAATTCTGTTTTTTAGTGGATTTCTTATAACTGTAATGTAAAATAGTGAGTTTCTCTTTTTTGCAAGAGAATCAGACAGAAAATACTTTGAAAAACCTCTTCATTCTACGAAATAATGAACGCTACTCGGGGAATAATTTTTCGGGGAAAAAAAATGAATTTGTATGATTGCGAATCTCGCTTACCCTTTTACGGATTCCAGTAACTTGATTGACATATTTTTCTTTAATTTATCAAAATAGCTCATTTTGTTAGTTCCTAAAATACGATGATCTGTTAAAATCATTCAAAATATGTATGCATTCACGACTTCATCATCCTTGTAAATAGTTATCGTAACATCATAGATGGATGGTAAAAAAACATGCAAAACTAGCTCTGACAACAGTTTCATCGGCAATGTGTTGTTGCAACACACCGTGTCCTCAAGTGAATGATAAGATTTATCGTGAAGTGTTCTTTACTGTGGTTATCGCCCAGTCAACTCAATCAAGTTGAGAACAAATATAAGGCTTGTTTCATGACAAAGAACATAAAACAATCAACGATATATTGAAGAGAACACATAAATTTCTTTTTCAAAAGTCCACACTCACGTAGTTAGTGAGATATTCTTGGTTTCGTTTACCACTACAATATTTGTTGAACTTTGGTGCTGTTTGTGGCAAACTGTAGCCGAATGAAACATACCTTGTTCTCGACAAAGTCTACATAGATTCATGTCATTCATCACATAATTCTCGATGCTCAAAATCAAAATGTAATCATAGTTAACTTCAAGATTTCATTGCTTAACATTTAACTTGCAAATTTCTTTATTGAAACATTCTAAAAATGAAAAATCGAAACATGCTCCTTTGTGCTTTGTCGATCTTCTTGTTTCCGCTCGCAGAAACTATTGTGTATACACATATATGAACACTACATCAGCGGATACACACGGTTTGTATCAGAAACCTTGAATGAGCATCTCAAAACAAATTCAAAAACCAGTCATGTGGATACACATCTTATGCATTCTGTCATAGATGGTGTGAGAATGCAAATGGGTGTGATTGAAGGATAGAGAAAAGCACAACTATAGGGTGTGTGGGTGTGAGTGTGTGGGTGTGGATGTGGGTGTGGGTGGGTGTGGGTGTGGGTAGGTATGGGTGTAGATGTGGGGTGTGGGTGTGGGTGTGGGGTAGTAGCGTAACCAGAGGGGGCAAGAGGGGCTGAGCCCCCCCTACGAAAGGTTTTGCCCCCCCTTAGAAAAATTTCTATCCCCTTTTATTAAAGAAAATTGCGTTTGATTTCTGTAATAATAGAAATCAACATACAGCTTATTCATAACAGCAGGCATCATCAACAATAAGAAGTCCAGAACTCGAAGGAAAATCCCTTAGAAAATGAATTTCTAATGCACATTTTTCTTGCATTTTTAAGAAGTTTTCGCTTCGCGACTTAGGTCTGTCCCATTAGTTTTCATTTTGATCAGTCTTCTCTCCATTTCGAATTAGCATTTGAAATATGATTCGTTTATCTGTGTGACTTAGGCAATGGGAAGCTTTGTATACGCCTCGCGTTTATCTTCCACTTTTAACACAGCGATTGAAAGCGTAGAGGACTTTAGTGGCTGAACATATACGAGTGCTATAATTTCGTTCTTGTCACTCCAGAAGCGTGAGTTTTTATTTCATTGAACTATACAATATTTTAGTCAAACCGTTTTTATTACGTTCCAAAAAGGTGCCGCCTTCGGCGGCATGCTCTCCTTGAATAAATAATAAATCAATGCTTTTTATACCGCTATTATCTCATCAGAAATTTTAGAGTCTAAGAAGAAACAAAATTTCTCACTGCGTGGTATTGTCCAAACAATAGTATAGAAAAGAACGATGAGGAACAGTTTATATGGTATAAAACATTTTACTCTTCTTATATTTTGACGCCAGATATGTCTCTTGGAGGTAGGGATGCACTAAACAGTAAGTAACGGGTAGGAGCAAAAGAAATTCTCGATATTTTCGATAAATTGTTTCGAAAAAGGGTGTTTGTAACAGGTAAATATGCGTTTTGTAGCACGCTCAATAGGATTTCGTATGTGCTATTCAATTTCTATACACGTCATACGAACTAAAAAACTAGACAAAGAATTATGTTGTTTCGTTGTCTACAGTTGGGGAGGGGGGGGCTGAGCCTCCCTACGGATTTTTCCTGGTTACGCCCCTAGTGTGGGGTGTGTGGGTGTGGGTGTGGGAGAAAAGATTAGCCACACCCACACCCAGCCACACACACACACCCATATCCCACACCCACCCACACCCCACACCCACATCCACAACCACACCCACCCACCCACACCCCACACCCCAAAACATAACGTGAAAAAAATTCAATTGAGGTGCACTATCCAATATTATTCACATAGAAATTCAAGAGCTAAAAGATTAGAAATATTTCTTCATCAGTTTATGAAATAGCAGTGAAACAAATATGGGTCACAAGCAATAACAATTTCATCGTCTCCAAAATCACAAATCTATTAATATCGGAGCGAATTCGAGTTGGAAGCATTCTCAGCTAGTTTAAGGTCAAGAACTGTTTCTCTTCGCTTTCGTTCTTCTTCGTCTCGTCCTCTGTATGAGACTCGAGCGAATGCAACCATCAGAATGGATAATGCAATGATGATGAGAACGAGCAAATTGATTAACTTGTATCGCCCGAACGCAACGAAAAGAAGAGCAACACAAGCAACATTGTTCCACTGCACGAGGATGGAGGCGGAGAGAGATTCTGGCAGAGGAAACATGATCTCGGCCAAACTCTCGTAGATCAATGGCGATGCTGCTCCTTGAAATAAGCCGGCAAGGGTAAGAGCGAAACCAATGGTGACTTTTGTCGAGTCAATGAGAGGTGCGTCATAGAAAACTGTGCGAACAGATAGTTGAAACCAACAAACTGAGAGCAAGCAGCTGACAAAGCAGATGAGAATAAGCATCTTGAGAGAACGTCGAAAGCGAGGTGTATCAGCCAGAGCGCTCAGGCACAAAGCACCAAGAATACCAGCCAGTGACGAGCCAAAACCGAACCAGCCTAATAAAAAGATAGACTGAGGATTACCAGTTGTACGAAAAAATTGCAAAGATCAACATTCGCCATTCTATATTGTTCTCAAGTGATCATATGACATTAGTATCATGTGATAAAGAACAATTTTTTGTTTAATTTTAATGTCAGATATAAAATGATATTATCAGTTCAATATACTAAAACTCTTATATTGCTGATGGAGTGCATTAAGAATCACTTTTGTTGATCGGACTCGACTTCTGATCATCTTCGGTAGATATACAAAAAATTGAACCAAACATGAATAGCGATCCTAAATCAACCCGAAGTTTATTTTTTAACAGAAGTACTTTTCAAAAAAAGGTATTTTCATGCGATATATACCAGTTTCTTGCTAAGAGTCCAGAAAACTTATTTTTAATCTACTGCTTCAATCGAAACCCGTCTGAAAAATGCTTAGGACGAAAAAAAATTTAGTTTTTTTTCTATAAATTTGAAGAAGTAATCAAAATCTAAGGTACATGTACATACATGTAGTTTATTCATTGATTACACGAGATTGACGTTTCGATTATTGAAGACTGTAGTCCGTATCGAGCTATCCACGCTCTGCAGTTTTCATCCAAAACCAACCTTGTCTGAGTGAGACAACCTCGATTAAAAGTACAAGAACCATTGTGAAGGTCACTATGCAACATAGTAGCATTATGTACTGCTGTGATTCGCGTTTCAGTCAAATAGTATTAGTTTCGCATGAAAATTGTAGAGCATAAACCACTCGATGCGGGCTAACCTTATATTTTGATTACTTCTCCAAATTTATGGAAAAAACTGAATGCTTTTTCCTCCTACGCATTATTCTTACAGCCTTCGATCGCATCGGTAGATCAAAAATAAGTTTTGTGAACTCTTACCAGGAAACTGATATATATCCCACGGATTCACTCGAAGGTAAGAAATCAGTTACAATTGCACTTGCTGTTTTCTTCGATCTAGTTCAATTCCTCTCCATTAGGAGCTGTAGATTATATACTAGCATGCTCATCAGATTCTAACGACTCGCTTTATCGAATCGTCGAAATGGATAGTGACTAAAGTTCGCCAGGACTGAGAAAATCAGATTTAAAAAATGAAGATGCTGCATAAATCCATTTTCGAAGTTTTTCAGAAAAAAAATTGTCGAAATAATCTCTTCCTAATTAAAGATGTAACGTTCCATCAACAATTTCATCCTTTCAACAAGAGAGCTTCACAATAGTCTAAGATTCAACTAAACAGCGACCATTTATGGAGTAAAGAAGAATATGGAATTGCATCAGAATTTTAAATGTCATATATCCAATGCCTTCTGTGTGACGTCCTAAACAGCAACTCGTTCAAGCAACAAGCACTAAACTTACCAGCCTGTTTTTCAGAATAATGCTCGGGAGCAAGAATTGTGGCGAACAACCCAGTCCACACAGCAAACGTTCCGCTCATGACACCACCCGCTGTTGAGAGAAGAACAAATGAAGGATTAGTCATGCATTGTCGAAGACCTTTTATGTAGGCTATCAATCCTGAGTTGGAGTTTTGCTTATCTCCCCGTATGAGCGATTCTGCTGCTGCTGATGGGGCTGTTGGTGGCTGAGCAGGAAAATAGATCAGTGCAAGAAGTCCGGCCACGATCGCCAGAGCAAAATGAAAGTAAAGCAGGTTGGGCACGTTCGTGGGATGGGAGACGATCGAAGGATTGACGAGAAAGCTGATAGTCGCACCAAGAATGTTCGCCATAATAGCCAACGTGGTAGCTCGCGTTCTTTCCCCGGGACCGAACCAGAGACATGACAGCTGAGATACAGGTGCCATTACCAAAGGACCACAAGCGGCATTGATAATCTGACCAGCATGAAGAAAAGGTAGAGATATAGCTTTGAAATGTGGATTTGAGGAAGAAATGATAAATGAAGGTATGACTCGAAGGGATGTGGCCACGAAAGACGCGACGGCTAAAAGAATGACAGCGCGTCGAAGTCCATTTCGGCTGTTGAGAAGAAGATAGGTAAAGGGGAGACAAGGTATGAAAATAATAGGTCCCCAATTGAGGAGAAGATCGACGGTGGCTGATGAAATGCCATAGTAGATTTGAGTGCTCGGAGAGATAGGAGAGAACGTGAGCCAAACAGC